AGTTGCTCCTGGCAGCTCAGCTGAGAAGAGAGTTATTGATGCACTTACTCATGTTGGAGCCAGTGTTCTATTGGGAGGTAAGGTTCTATACTAATGAGAAAATATTTTCAAATCAAATAACCTGCAAAGAAAATCAAATGCAACAACAACAGCATTGACTGAGTCATCCAAATGCAAGGAGAATCGCAAAAAGAAAAACAGGTGTAATCTTCAAGTAATTATAAGCGTAAGATGACGTGATGATAAAATGAACTTGATCAATGTAGATTTTGAATAAAGGGAACAACTATACATAAGAAAATAGCCCAAAGAAAATATGCTCGCTGATTGGTCTAAAATCGTGTTTCTATTAAGCAATTAGATTATGAGCTCGAGATTTCTATCGCGTCATCGTTGACGAGGGCGCGTATGAATCTACTAGTCGTTCAAAACTTTGTCTAAATCCTCTTCACAGACACTGCGAATACGCCAAGAAGCGGCCGTTATTTTGTTAACAAGCGCACACTGCTATGCTACTCACTGTCTAACACAGAATAGATAGTGAGTAGCGTAGCCAATCAGAGAACAGCATTCGTCATAGAACGCTATTAGATTTATACTAAAACCCGACAGAAACACAAAACTAGCACGAGCTATTGACGTAATGATGGCATCAGCAAAGAGAATTTACATTTTGATGATCAAAGTAAAGAAGTTGTTTTCTTTATTTCTTCGCCGAATTTTCTAAAAGAAATAGAAAACATGTTCTTCGTGTCTCTATCGAGTTGTAAAAACATTCGTGGAACCATTACCATTGACATTGCCATTGTCATTATCGTGATAATTATTATTATTTATTTATTTATTTATTTATTGTTTATTTTTAGGTGCCAGTACGCTCGTCGGAATTGGAATGACAGCCTTATCCAAGTCAGAGATATTTCAGATCTTTTTCAAAATGTTCTTCAGCATGATCTTTCTTGGTCTTCTCCATGGGCTTTGCATTCTGCCAGTTCATCTGTCAGTTTTCCACAGGCTCACCACGTTTACCCATGCAAACAAGAGTGGTGCATTGCGTGATGGTGATGATGTTGGAGATTCCCGTTTGAAGGAAGGCAACATTAACCCAGGGGTAGAGGTCGAGACAGAACTCCATGACAATCATCTGGAACAATCTGCCAATACAAAAGCTTTAAAGACAGAGGAACTCAATGGCGCTCACTTGAAAGGTAGGATAATCATTAATTACAGAGAATCGTGAAAGTAAGTTTGTTCATATCAATGTAGCATACGTAGCAGGCGAAAACACGAAGGAGAGTGAGAGAAGGGAGGCGGTGAGAGAGAGGGAGAGAGAGGGCGGGGGTGAAAGGAGTGGGTAGTTGGAGAGAAAGGAGTTTTACAGAAGGCTTTTCATAGTTCGAAAAGTTAAAGTGGCTCAGAACCCTATATACATAATTTTTTTAAACTTTGCGACAAATTTTACCTTGAATAACTTCCTTCACAATTCGATCATAATCATTAAAATTAAGGGTGTTTAACAGGTGGCATCGTTGCTATGATAACATATTTTATTGCCAATTGTTTTTTTTTAAATGGCTGCAAGACTGGACTTTTCGGCCATGTACTTTTCGATCGCCTCTGAACGTCAAATCAAAACTGAAAATTAAATTGATCGACAATTTCTGACTGGCTGCACTCTAACATTGAATTCTGAGATATAAAGAGCCTCTAACGTTGATGCTCTGTGATGGTTTACCAACATCCATATAATTTTTCTTTAGACTCAACCGAAGATGAACACACTGATGGCCCTAGTGATACCCTCGATTCTCATCCAGCCTGCTTATCAACAAGCAAATCCCAGGGTGAGGAATGTAACGAAGAGGACCATAGTTACTCGCCTTGGGCTAGTGACACGAGGATTTAAGCGGATGTTTTAAACACAGCGATTCGCAGAGGTACCTTTAAAGGGAATCTTGGCTGAACAACAGTTTTGTTCAAAATCACGAGTCGGTGTCTGTGTTGAACTCTTTCAGCCATTTTAAGTCGATAATTCTTTGCCTGTTTTGAATGCTGGGCGTTTTCGCCTCTGCTATTTTAGGCTTTTAAATTTCCCGCGCGCTGCCATGTTTATTTTTGCTCTGCTTGATGGAAAAATTAAGACGTCATTTCGTGTTTGGACGATTTTTTAAATAAAACATTGCGTGAATCTAGAGGTATAAAAGCGCTTCTAATCATTTATAATTCATATTCCGGATGAGTGTGTACAGTTCCAACGAAAAATCACTTCATGTAGAAACCATATCCAGATCTCTGACCACACAGTGACGTCTTAAATTACCATGAAGTAAACATGGCGACGCCCAGGTGATTTAACCTGAAAAACAAAAACTTCGTATTCGAACCCCAGGATCAGTTAAAGATATCTATTAGGTATACTTTGTAACTTGAACTGCTTTTCAGCCGAGATTCTCTTTAAAAGTACGAGTGCTGCAAATGGTACTAACAGCCAGAATAACGGTTAAAAGTAAAATTATAGCGAGCGATTCTAGTGCGCACCGACTTCTATGTAGTTTCCGAAGTTTAAAAGTTTTCAGATACCATAATTATGTAGAGTACAGATGTAATGAATGAAATCAATTCATAAGAACCAATTCATTGGAATTTTATGACGCAGTTTCCGCTTCCTGTTTACTTATATCAAGTATATTCAGTTGCTAT